GGGGGGGGGGGGAGGACCTGTCCCGACCCAGATAATACTAACAGGGAGGACACTCGTAAATGCAGTTTCCTAGTCGCGGACGATGCCAGTGTGTGCGAGCACCGCACAGGTGTCCGCCCGAGAGGGACCCCCCGGGCCTCCCGCCGAGACGGATGAGGGTCCTAACTTCTGTACCTGACTCCCCTCGGAACTCTTGGAGAATCTGGAGTCATAGACCGTGTCCCTGAAATGACGCCTAATGGCACTCGACCCAGGAACCCAGGCTCCAAAGCAAAGTTCCTGACCTCCCTGCACCCCCACCACAGCCACCCAGGGTCCTGTGATCTCCTCCCTGGGACCTTGTCCCGCAGCTCCTTGAGGATTCAGAAACAGACCCTGGTCAGGCCCCAAGTGCTGGCTCTGGCCCCCCCTCTTCCTGAACAGTCCCCCTCCACTAGTGCCACTCAGCAGGAATCTGCCTAGCTTGTCAAACCCTATTCGGGTGTCACCAACTCCACACGGGCCCCCACATCCCCGCAACAGAGGATGGGGGCTGCTGCTGTCCTCCGAGGGGGAGCACACCCGGACGAGGCCCGCCCCTGTCTCCCATGGTCCCGCGACCCGGACGGCACGGCTGGCACACGGGCGGTGCTCGGCCGAGGTCCAGTGCGCGGAACGAGACACGCACACGCTCGGGAGGCCCTGGTGTGCGACACCAACGGGCCGGGCCTCCTCCTTCCTGCCACACCCCAAGCACGGTACCCGGACAAGCACACTCTCGGAGCCTTGGCACCCAGCTCCGTGTCACAGTCCCTTCGGACAGCAGGTGGGGTTGGGGATTGTTAGGGGCTGACCTGTGCCCCCCCTGCCCCCCCGAAAACACTGAGGCCCAAACCCGTAAACACTGTGTTTGGGACCAGGATCGTTGCTTGCAGTAAGCTTACAACAGGGTTATTGGGATGGGCCCTATTCCAAGGCGCCCCCTATCCTCAGGAAAAGGGGCAAGTTGGACGCGGACTCGTACACAGGGAGACGCGGCCCTGAGAGTGCAGGCGGAGGTCGGGGCGATGCCAGTACAAGCCAAGGAGCCCCGAAGGCGGCCAGACACCAGCGGCAGCTGGGGGGAGGCCTGGACCAGACCATCCCTCGCAGCCTCAGCAGGAAGCAGCCCCGCGACGGCCTGTTCTTGGACTGAGACGGCAGGATGTGCTGTTTAAGCAGCCCCAGGGCACTCCTACAAGACGGCTACGAAAGCTCGCACGTTAGCACTTAACGCGGAGCTCCGCGCACACGAATGCCCGCTACGCACGGGCTGCGTCATCATCGGGACCCACGCAAACACTTCACTCACCTCCTCTAGACTCTTGAGCGAAGGGGACGCCTGGATCCCGTCCTGGGGCTCCGGAGCGGCAGGAGCAGAGGCTTCTAACGTCTGCTCCTGGACCACCGGGCTTCCTCCGACCACCAAGGCCTGCAGCTCAGGGCTTTCCTCGGGCTCCCCTGAGGGCCCCAGGTGGGGCCTGGCCTTGGGCATCAAGGCCAGGCTCTCCTCCTCCGCAGGCTGGGTTTCTGTGCCGGGGGCCGGCCTGTCCCGCTCAGGTGCCTCGGGTCGCACCGTCTCAAGCTGCGAATTGCTTCTCAGTGGCTGAAGGACAAAGTCGTTTCTCTTGGTCACAGGAGCCTGCTGCACAGGTGCTTCCCAAGCCACTACCCGGGGCGGGGGTGGGGGGATGTCAACTGCCTGACGGTTATGCGGGAAATGTGCAGTTTTAGAAAACACCACATGGGGTGAGCTCCCTGTTCGGCCACCAGCTGCTTGGGAGGGGGGTCCCGAGACCCCCAGCCCAAGCCTGTGGTGGGTGGAAAGCGGCCCCCGCCCCAAAATATAGGCGTATGTCATTTTATTGCACTTTGCAGGTACGATTTTTTTTTTTGAGAGAGCGTGTGTAGGTAGGTGGAGGAGGGAGGGAGGGAGAGGGAGGGAGAGGGAGGGAGGGAGAGAGGGGGAGACGGGGAGAGGGGGAGAGAGAGAGAACGAATGAATGAATCTCAGGCAGGCTCCACGCTGTCAGCACAGAGCCGATGTGGGGCTCCATCTCATGAACCGTGAGATCGTGACCTGAGCCGAATTCCAGAGTGGGATGCTTAACTGACTGGGCCCCCCAGGCTCCCTGCCAAGTACGATTCTCTACAGATGAAGGTTCGTGGCGACCCTGCCTTGGGCACATCTGTGGGCGCCATTTTCCCGACCCCGTTGGCTGACTTCGTGTCTCTGTGCCACATTCTGGTAATTCTCGCCGTATTTCAACCTGTGTCGTCATTACTGTATCTGGTGACCTGCGATCCGTGAGGACAGCTCACCCGGAGCTCAGAGGGTGGTTGGCACTCACGATAAAATGTTTAAGTGAGGTGTGCACGGTTTGCGTAGATGAGGCCATCACGCACTGAAGAGACTGCAGTATGGGACAGGCAGAACTTTCCTACGTGCTGAAGCCTGGCTTTCCCGTGCCACTTGCTACACGGCAGCGGTCTGGAACCGAACCCGCAGCGTCTCCGAGATGCACCTGTGTGCCTACGCTCTAACCCCTGGTGCCCTCGAATGGGACCTGACTGCAGGGGGGGCAGACACTGGATTAGTGTGAGCCGTAACCCGGGGCGGAGTGTCCCCAAGAGGAGACCAGCTCTGAGATGCACAGACGGGTGGGGAGCAAGCAGAGAAAGACGGATGCCTCTAAGCGCCCAGCAACCAGGGTTCCCGGCCGCCGCCCTCCCCCCAAAGATGCAGGGAGGGGCCCCCCCACCCCCCGAGGGCGTTGGAAAGCAACGAGCTCCGTGATGCGTCGTGACCTGCTTCGGCAGCCCCAGGACCCACACGCAGAACCCCTCTGCCCCTCCGTGCCTCGTTTTCCACTCTGGTCCCGACCAGCACATTCCGGGGCTCTGTCCGCTCAGGCGCATGCAGACGCCCCCACACAAGGTGCAGCAGACGCAGCCGGGGAAGGGGCTGCCGCCTGCCCGCCCCACCCCGCCTCCCCGGCCCCAGGGCATCTTCTGGGACTCTGCGGCCACCAAGGCCAGCAGCTACCATCAGGCAAACCCCAGGGCAGTACTCACAAAGCCGCCTGGGCCATCCGACCTTCCTGAAGACCAAAAAGGAGAGAAATGACCACGGTTGGTATCAGCGGGGACAATGACTTCCGTGAGGAAAGGAAGTGCCTTGAACTGGCAAGAAAGCACACTTACCCTTCAACAATCTGACGATCAGCTGGTAGCAGACCTGCACACCTGGGAAGGACACAGGAGGTGAGCGCCACCTGGGGGGCTTTGCCAGCACCCGGGAGCCCCCGCCCACCCACCCCAGGAGCCCCCTGCTGACACAGCACCCGCCTCGCCCTGCTTCTTGGCCGACAGCACCCCAGACACGGCATCCCCAGCCGGTGGACCTGAGACCCTGGCCTTAAGACCCGTGTGCCAGGGAGCAGGCGGCAGGGGCCCTGTGCCACAGCCTGGAGCTCAGGAGCGCAAGTGAGAAGATGAGCACAGCCGTGCTTCCAATGGACAAGTCCCCGGGGCGCCTGGGGGGCTCCGTCCGTGAAGCGTCCGACTTGGGCTCAGGTCATGGTCTCCCAGTTCAGGAGTTCGAGCCCCGCATCGGGCTCCGTGCGGACAGCTGGGAGCCTGGAGCCCGCTTCGGATTCTGTGTCTCCCTCTCTCTCTGCCCCTCCCCCACTCATGCTGTGTCTCTTGCAAAAACAAACACTAATAACAAAAAAATGTTTTTTTAAATAAGTGAAAAAGTCCCCGTCAGGGACCTCTTAACCCCAAGTGTCCGCTTCTGAGCTCCTGCTGAGCTGGCTTCTCCAGGACTGACTGACACTAACCTACCTTTCTTTTTATACCAACAAATACAGACAATGACGATGACGACGATGACGACGATGACGGCAATGACGGCAAGAATGACGCTAACGGTCACCCACGGCGCGAGGAACTCAGACCCACGTTTGTTTTCTGGAAGGAGACAAAACAGAGGGTGGTGTAGGAGGGTCAGGCCCACCCTCCTCATTCAAGTCACGTGCTACAGAAAGTCCCCGAGCCCTCTCCCACGGATCACCATCTCAAACGTCCCCAGTGGGAGACAGGAGAGGCTCGCGCTTCCTGTGTCACGGACGAGGACCCCAGGCTCAGGGGACGTGGGGCCCCACGCAGGGGGCTGGAAGCAGCAGGAGGCGTACAGGGCCAGGAGAGCGGCTAGGGGTTCTGGTACCCAGGCCGGGGCTCCGGTGTGAGCGGTCACAGCCGGCAGCAGGAGGCAGGGGACGGCCAGTCCTGACTGGAGCAAGGCCCACCCATGGTGGCCGGAGGGACAGGGCAGGTCCACCCTGGAGAGACATCTGGTATGACCACTTGGGTGTCCCGGTGTCACCCTGGTGAGATCACAGCACCGACAGCACTCGTGGACACAAAGACACGGCGGGGGGCGGGGGGGGGGGGGGGGGGGGGGGGCAGGGCACACCCATCTGAGCCCTGGACCCTCAGCCACCCGGACGTCATTGGCGTCAGCAGCCGGTGCTGGGAAGGATAGACAATGGGGCACAACTTCCGCATGGTGCTGCCGTTTGACTCCGAGATGTTCCTTATTCTCAGATGAGGCCCTTCCCAATTTTTCCCAGTGTTAAAATATCCTTTCAAAGTGCACGTTATGTAAATCAAAATTTTCTGTGGAAATCAACAAGCTGATTCCGCAGTGTGAACTGACACACCAAAGACCGTGTGGAGGAAGGACTGGGGGCCCTGGGCCTCTGCCGGCAAGGCCTGCAGGTGGGTGTGGCCCCAAACCGAACAGGAGCAACTGCCTTCACCACCCAGGGACCCCGAGGGCAGGTGGGAGGGACTGTCTTTTCCAAACACGGTCCTGGGTCATTCGTGGGTGCGTGTGGGAAAACACATCGAAGCCTGACCCCCTTACCCCACAGCATGCGGAACACCGATCCCAGGCTCATCACAGGACACAATCAGAACAGGAAAAGCATACGGCTTCTGGCGGGTGCCATGAGGATCTCGAGGTGAGCAGAGATCTCTCACACGGGGCACAATAAAGGGACCTTGTTCAACGAAGAGCCTGTCCCTCGGGAGACCCCTCAGCATGAATAAAAAGGAATCCTACCCTAACTTTGTAATTACCAACATTTATAAACACAGTTGAGCCTTGAACATGGGTTTCAACCGCGAGGGTCTGCTTACGTGTGGATCGTTTCTATAAACAGTAGGGCGCCGTAAACGTATTTTCCCTTCATTTACTTAACGCCCTCTTCTCCCCTCCGGTTTACTTTATTAAAAACACAGCACACGGTATAGACAAAACACACAAAACAGGGGTCAATCGACCCTTCACATCACTGCTAAGGCTCCCGGTCAACAGTACACTATTCGTAGTCAGGCTGTTGGGGGGGATCAAAAGTTCTATGCGGACCTGACTGCGTGGGGCAGCGGCGCCCCTCACCCCATGCTGTTCGGGGGTCAGCTACGATTATCAAAAGTAAGAAACAAACCTGCCTGCGACTCAGTATGAAGCAGGCATGTCTCGCACAGGCCCGTAACACAAGAGAGCGCAAGGCGGGGGGAAGGCACAGCTTGTCGCCAAGGATGCTGTTTCCTCAAGACGGAGGTCTATGAACGGTGGCCCGCGGGAACCCAGCCCACGACAAGTACGCTTTTAATGGCACCCAGCCGGGCCCACCTGTTTCCTTACCGTCTCTGGCTTTTGCTTCAGGGGCAGGGAGGGTTGAGGAGTGACAAGAGAGACCGCAGGGCCTGCAAAACCTATGCTTTTTACCTTTATGGGAAAGGTCTGCTGACCTGGATTCAAGAGATGACCTCAGGGGGCACCTGGGGGTCTCAGTCGATTAAGCGGCCGACTTCGGCTCGGGTCATGATCTCACGGTTCGTGGGTTCGAGCCCCACGTCGGGTTCTGTGCTGACAGCTCGGAGCCTGGACCCTGCTTTGCGTTCTGTGTCTCCCTCTCTCTCTCTGACCCTCTCCCGCTCACGCTCTGTGTCTCTATCTCAAATATTAAACATTAAAAAAAAGAGAGAGATGAGCTCAGTCCCTTACCTGGACGCCCTCGATCGGTTTCTGTGGCACAAACCGTGTTGCTGGTAGCATTGCAAGGGGACAGGACAAAGCCAGGACACCTGAAGGGTGAAGACACCCGGAGCGTTACTTCTCCCTGCCTGGGCGCGGCACGCAACGTCCTTCCCACCACCCCACAGCTCCCAGGACGGCCCGCCAGCCTTCAGGCAAACACTGCCTGGCATCTCCCGGGCTCTCTGGCCCAAACTGGCTCATGGAGAATAAAAGCGTCCTATGCTCTGTGCCACACCGGGGAAGAGCCTCCCTCTCTGTTCCTGGACAGAGCTGTGTGTGGCTAGGAGGTCCGGCCCTACTGCAGCTGGAGCCCCGTGCCCATCGAGAGAGAAGTTAGGCCAAAGAGGAAGCACGTGGAGAAGGGGACAAGCAAGCAAGCCCAGAGAAGCCAGAGCCTAGATCACACCAGACCTGAAAGCAGTCCTTACTTTGGACTCGCCAGGCGCAGGAACCTGAGTCGTACCAGTTCACAACGCGCCCCCGAAACCGGAGCGGTTTTAAGTGGCTTTGCCACCGTACAGGTCTCCCCACAAGGCCCTCCCCAAACCTGCGCCCACCCAGAACCCCAGGAGTTGACCTTATTTGGACCACAGGGTCTGTGCAGACAGAAGCACCTCACGGTGAGGCCGTGCCAGACTACGGTGGGCCTAAATCAAGGACCGGTGTCCTTGGAGGAGGGAACTCGGACGGGACAGAGAGAGGCCGTGTGCAGACATCGAGACACACACGCAAGAGGTGACCTCGCAGAGACAGAAGCAGACGGAAGGTAAGCGAAGGAGCATCTCGGGGCGCCCACAGCGTCAGAGGCTGGAAGAGGCGAGGCACGGTCCTCCCCTAGAGCCTGCGGAGGGAGCACGGCCCTGCTCACACCTGGATTTCAGGCGCCTGGTGTCCAGAGCTGGGAGAGAACACACTTCTGTTGGTTTTCTCGAAGCTGCCCAGCTGTGGCGCTTTGTTACCGCAGCCACAGGACCCCCACGGGGACAGCGGCCGTCCCGCACTGCCGCAGGGCGCGGTCCTACCGTTCTGCCTGGACTGCTCTTCCCCCAGAACCCTCTATGGCTCCCTACCCTCCTCGCCGGGCCTCTGCTTGAGAGCCTGGTCCCCTCC